CTGTGCATCGGTTTTCGATTTCGATAAACGGTGTTGCCGTGGTTACTAAAAATAGAAATTTCTTTGAAATTCTTTCAAAATGCTACTCCTCCTACAAATTTGGTCCGATTTCAGTATAACTTGGCACACAAGTAGACTACACTAAGATACACAATTCTGTGCATTGGTTTTTAGCTCACCTGAGCCGAAGGCTCAAGTGAGCTTTTCTGATCACATTTTGTCTGGCGTCCGTCTGTCCGTCTGTCTGTCTGTCCGTCTGTCTGTAAACTTTTCACATTTTCGACTTCTTCTCAAGAACCGCTGGGCCAATTTCAACCAAACTTGCCACAAAGTATCCTTGGGTGCAGGGGATTCAAGTTTGTTCAAATGAAGGGCCACGCCCTTATTCAAGGGGAGATAATTGGGAATTAATGAAAATTTAGTGGTATATTTTAAAAATCTTCTTCTCAAGAACCACTGTGCCAGGAAAGATGAAACTTATGGGGAAACATCCTCAGGTAGTGTAGATTCAAGTTTGTTCAAATCATGACCCCCGGGGGTAGGGCGGGGCCAAAATGGCTGACCAAAGTTTTACATAGAAATATATAGGAAAATTCTTTAAAAATCTTCTTCTCAAGAATGACAAAGTCATAATTCATCATATTTATATGGAAACATGCTCAGGTAGTGTAAATTCAAGTTTGTTCAAATCATGACCCCCGGGGGTAGGGCGGGGCCAAAATGGCCGATCAAAGTTTTACATAGAAATATGTAGGAAAATTCTTTAAAAATCTTCTTCTCAAGAATGACAAAGCCATAATTCATCATATTTATATGGAAGCATGCTCAGGTAGTGTAGATTCAAGTTTGTTCAAATCATGACCCCGGGGGGTAGGGCGGGGCCAAAATGGCCGACCAATGTTTTACATAGAAGTATATAGGAAAATTCTTTAAAAATCTTCTGCTCAAGAATGACAAAGTCATAATTCATCATATTTATATGGAAACATGCTCAGGTAGTGTAGATTCAGGTTTGTTCAAATCATGACCCCCGGGGGTAGGGCGGGGCCAAAATGGCCGACCAAAGTTTTACATAGAAATATATAGGAAAATTCTTTAAAAATCTTCTTCTCAAGAATGACAAAGCCATAATTCATCATATTTATACATATGGAAGCATGCTCAGGTAGTGTAGATTCAAGTTTGTTCAAATCATGACCCCCGGGGGTAGGGCGGGGCCAAAATGGCCGACCAAAATTTTACATAGAAATATATAGGAAAATTCTTTAAAAATCTTCTCAACAAGAATGACAAAGCCATAATTCATCATATTTATATGGGAGCATGCTCAGGTAGTGTAGATTCAAGTTTGTTCAAATCATGACCCCGGGAGGTAGGGCGGGGCCAAAATGGCCGACCAATGTTTTACATAGAAATATATAGGAAAATTCTTTAAAAATCTTCTTCTCAAGAATGACAAAGCCATAATTCATCATATATATATATGGAAGCATGCTCAGGTAGTGTAGATTCAAGTTTGTTCAAATCATGACCCCCGGGGGTAGGGCGGGGCCAAAATGGCCGACCAAAGTTTTACATAGAAATATATAGGAAAATTCTTTAAAAATCTTCTTCTCAATCATTTTCCAAAAAATAGGAAATCCATGATTGGTCATGGGACTACTTTTGGATTTAAACTTTACAATAAAAAGCCATTTTATACTAGTCCTATCCTTGGTGCTCAGGTGAGCGATGTGGCCCATGGGCCTCTTGTTATTTTGATGAGTGGCAAGGATCATTTTTCTATTTATTGCTGATTTAAAGTCTCAAGTCCCAACTGCTACTTTTCTCTTCCTTTGTTTTAAGTATAAACCAGTAGAGCTACAGTCTCGACAGAGACTTCTGGTTTCAGTGGTTTTCGCATTTATAGCTGAGTACTAGATTTACCGCTTTTGGCAGATGATACTGCTGATTCAGTTATAAATTAAATACGCAAGTTTTTATATATTAAATTTAATGAATTTTTTAAACCTAGAAATGTGCATGAGAAGTGTGAAGAGTTTCTGTGCGCCAAGGAAAAAAAAAATCCGGGACCGTCGGGAGCCGGGAGTCGGGAAGACTAGATTTACCGCGTGCACGTTTGTTAAATTTTTTTCGTTTGTCGTGTTTTTATTTAAGGAATAACTGTCTTATTTTTCGAATTCATGAAGTGATCAATGGTTTGGCTTGTGTGATAATTTGCATAAACGCCGAAGGCGTTTATGCATAAAATTATCACACAAGCCACTCCATTGATCATCTTCATGAATTCGAAAAATCTGACAGTTATTCCTTATATTTACATGCTTTGATTCCGCCAATCCACGGGCTCCAAGCCTGCTTCTCTCTAGGTGTTGTCCCGCCCTGCACGTGGGTTTTTTTTTTGAACTGTGACAAAACATTCATGAGGAAATCAATTACATTTACAATTGGTAATTTTATCTCGGACAAAGACATTGGAAATGTAAATATGTACGTTTGTACTGCAAAGATGATCGTTGGTTTTGCATTTATATATGTTTGTTACGTACGTAGTCGTTGGTTTTGCTTTAATGTATATTTGTTCTGCGAAAAGGTCTGTTGATTATGCATTGTATATCATTTGTTAAGTTTTTATGGTCATTGAATTTAAAATAATTGTTTGTTTTCTCATTATGGTAATTTTTGCTCTTTCCGCTGCCCATATACATGTCCATGTAAAATATAAAAGTCCTGACACCAAGGCAACTGTTCAAAAGGCATGGTCAATAATAAGTTTTTCATACCGGTAGGTCAAACTCAAGGTTAAGGTCAATGGGTCAAAATTCATATTGTTGGTTTCGTCACAAGCAATACACCTGTGAAATATAAAGGACCTAGCACTAAACATACAAAGGTTAAGTCCAAGGTTAAAAGTTTTTAATAAGTAGACCAAACTCAAAGGCGAAGGACAAAAATATTTGTACACAAGGAAAGATTATTCTCCTTATTGATAAAAGTATACTTATTCTATAATAGTATAGGTATATTTTAATTAACGAAGGGAAAGGATTAAACGTCAAGCCCCTGTGGGACAACACATTTTTACAAAGACAAACAGACAAACAAATTCTATTTGTCCCCGAATATTCAATTAGGAGGGCATAAATATTCATAGATATTTTGTATAACCAATAGGAGCCATCACGCGGAAAATGATATAATGCTAAATCTGATTATTACAAACGTATTTTATAAGTTAATTATTAAGAACATACATGTACTATGTCGCTTTGATAATTTTCAAAATACAGTAGTTGCATAAATGAACATGTACATTGAAATCGTTTTAAAGAAATTATTTACAACTGAACAACCGACATTTGTGTAATTATTGGGAAAAATACTAAAGTGCGTTTGCCATATACATGTATATTTTTTATCAATGGGCAAAAGGAGTTGTTACATGAAATTTGACTCAAAGTAAATAATTTTGTATCTATAGAAGAATATGAATAGCAAAGTTCTATCAAAAACGTAATATTCTAAGCATCCAAGCTAAAAATAACTCGAAAAATCTCGTTGACCTCAAATTTATCTATTCCCGCGTGCTTCTGCAATTTCCAGAGAAAAGCTGAAGAGGGAAAAGTTGACAATCTTAGAAGTTTAATCTAACATTCTTTCCTATAAATATTCAAAATGGCCCATTACTCAATCAAAACATTAGAATAACTTGATAACTAATATCAAAAGCTGTCAAAACTACCACACCAGATTTCCTTGATTGTAGCTCCAGTAAATGGAAATCTTGTTTGAGATTTAGGTTCAGTTTTATTCAAGTTTTTAAAACAAAATCGGAAAACGATGAACAAGCTGATAAGTTTGAAAACTCTGAGACGAGAAATGCACTTATTCTTTCGCAGGTAGAAATGAAATTTATGTTATGTGATTTAGTAGAAAAGTTAAAACCCTTACTTTAATACAATAAATTATAGAAAAAGATCAACAAAAGCATTATTTTACTAGAAAGAGAAAAAATATTGTTTTTTGGAAAGAAACACGATGCACACAGTAAAATTCCGAATAGGTCATTGTATTAACTTTTGCCATGATAATGTAATCCACTACTCTCATTGATGAAAAGGAAGTGTTGTAGAATTCGGTATTATTTTCGGCGTCCCATTGCATTTATTTGCTGAAATCTTTTGCATGTGAAAATCTACTCCAATATATTTCACAAAATCGAAGCGATGAAGAAATAACTTAGCTATAGACTTCGACCACCAGTGACAACAATACGTTCGTTGACTTTCAACAAAATAAGTCCTAATTCCCGAAACCATAAGAAAAAGAACTTTACACTGTCATGAGCCGCTTCCCTTCATTTGTCGGTAACAATTCCGACATAATTACGCGGTTTTTCTTGTTCATTTGTGTGTGTTTACCTCTTCGATCTTTCAAACTACAAAGCAAATGCAAAAGTGTTAACAGACACAAAACTTATTCTTGTAAAACAGACATGAATTGGAACAAAATGAATCCAAGGAAGACAAATATTTAATTCAAAAAGTAAACGATTTCTACAGTAATACTATTGTTCGAAAATACTCGATCATCATCAAAATAAACTATATGCATTTTGAATCTATTAAAGTCATTGACCATTCCATGCAAGCCAATCTCATGTTGAAAATTATACTTTTCATCTTCATTGTCACTTGTTTATTTACTTTTCAAGTCATTTGTATTTTTGGACAACCGGCGTTCGCGCCATTGACGGTTGTTGGCCGCACGTTAACGTTATCGCGAGATCTCGCGCGAGGAAGCAGGGTCGTTAATAACTAAATGTGTTGACATGTCAAACGCTAGATTCCTCACAAACGAGCATTTGTCACAACACCCCAGAAAACAAATCTGCTTCTTACCTATCAGTGTCACATAGGTCGACCGTTCTCCATTAACCCCTGTGACAATACAAACATACCAACACTATTAGAAAAAAAAAGTTTGCAATAATATTTCAGAACAAAGGCCAAACGGAGCCTGACTGCAATTCCAACAACATGGATAATGGTGAAGCACTACCAAGTCCCTCAGACGACGCAACATTTGATGATGTTGGACCTTTGATAAAGATGGACAATTTGCAAAATGGAAGGGACCATAATGAGGATTCCAAAGAGAAAATGCTCCCAGAAAATAATAATATAAAGAACAAAACTAAGTTGGAGCACTTTGTAGCACCTCCCAAGGAAAACTGGGGCGGAAGTGGAGACTATCTACTGGCGGCGATTGGATATTCCGTGGATTTATCTAATGTTTGGAGGTTTCCCTACTTAGCCTACAAAAATGGCGGCGGTGAGTTGGTTGCTGTTTATGCTTTGTTATACTCATTAAAAATTACGTGTATTAGATAATTTGTATAATAAAAATTTAGTGGTAATCATGGTCTTCTTTTAAGAAAATTATAAAAATTGGTCAAAATAAATTTAAACATTTTAAGTTTGTTGAAGATGAACTTCAACATGGTCGTTACAAACGCACTCTTCAAATTCGATAGACAAAGTAACAATGTTTGGATTTAACTCGAATGAACCATAAACGCGGCTAAATCTTTTATATAAAAAGATTCCTTTTTTCTAGGAACTCGTAGACATCTGTTACGAACGAACTTGCTTGAAAAATAAACGTTTGATATTATTAGTAACCTTACATTATAAAGTATTTGTAAGAATAAAGACTGACACTTGTATAGACAGTCTTGGATGTTGCAGGTGCATTTATCATTCCATATTTCACGGTTCTCATACTCGGCGCTGTCCCCGTCTTCTTTATGGAACTTAGCATGGGGCAGTTCAGCAAAGAGGGGCCCATAAATGTTTGGAACAACCTTGTACCCATGTTCAGAGGTAAACATTTTCGGGAAAAAATACGTTTAGACCAAAGATTTCAATAAAAAATATTAAAGAATTTGAGACGTATTTTTACGAGAAAATGGCTTGTACATTGTAGTCCCTTTTATATAAGAATAAATACGTTCGTACTGAATTGTTTTCGTGTAATTCTACGTGATTTCGGAATAATTTTTAATCACACTTGGATATTGTAGGTATAGGTTTTGCCTCTTGTTGGATGGCCTACATCGTCGCTTTCTACTACAACATGGTTATCGCCTGGGCGTTCTACTACCTGTTCTCTTCTTTCTCTTGGAACACTCCCTGGTCAAGGTGTGACCACGAATTTAACACACGTGACTGCTGGCAGTCAGACTGGGATACCAATCAAACACACTCAAATAGGACCTATAACTCCAGCACTGCTATCTCTTCCTCTTACGAATATTTTGAGTAGGTACATGTTCAAAGCATCTGGCATTCTGTATCTGTTTAATATGTTTTATTATTTCGTGATTGTCATATAAGATTTTTTTTTTGCATGAAGACGAGGCGTTCTCAGTTTACACAAGAGTTCGGGAATCGACAACCTCGGTGGAATCAAATGGGAAGTCGCTGGATGTGTGGCCCTTACGTTCATTATTCTTTACCTCAGTTTGTGGAAAAGTGTTAAGAGTGCAGGAAAGGTATTTATGTTATCTGTTAGCACTAACTGTTAAAATTAACACTGTCTCAGTGAGACACTTTTGAATCAAGAAATTTTCAAATTTACTGAATCCAATTTCAAATGAAATTATTATTAACAAAAGAAACTTAAAACTTTTTTTATAATATGAATTTTCAGTGAAATGCCGAAAATTAAATTTATTCGAATGTAAAAAAAAAAATGAGTGTTGCCAGTTTAATGTTTTTTTTTTTAATTTAAGGTCGTCTGGTTCACGGCCACAGTTCCTTACTTGATACTCACTGCTCTATTGATTCGAGGCTCCATGCTCCCTGGTGCAGGAGAGGGGGTCAAATTTTTCATCGTTCCAAACATGAGCAGGCTCGCAGAAGTTCAGGCAAGTTTTTGCTTTGATACTTGAATAAGTTGGTGTGATTTTCATTTTTTTTTCTATTCAAACCAAAAGACACATCCTCTATTAAAATGTTCTTTGATCTAATGTGATGTCTTCAATAAATGAAAAATGTGAATACAGTATGCTTCTATTCTTCGTAAATATCCACAATCTTATCTATTTTGCAATTAAAAAATGATCGTTTTTTCCTAATCCGAATTTCCTCCATTCTTCTGTTAAACACATGCAGTATATAAGGTCATGAAGTGCAATACCCACTGAGAATTACCAGTAAATTTATTTTTATTTTGAATTTCTATCATAACTGCTATTTATATATGTTTCAATTTTACAAGTGATAAACTTTTTAATTTAATTCTAATTGCCATATTGGTAGTTGCAATCAACTAAATTTTATTTATCAAAAATTAAATTAATTGCATTATGTAAATATTTTTCACATAAACAGTGAACCATTCCAAATTAAATTAAATCAGGATCATAACGATAAATCACAACATCAAATCAAAAATTAAAATGACTACTATACTAAGGAGAACATACATCTTTTGTTTAAAATATGTAATTATGTTATAATATAAAAGTAGAATGGCATACAAAAAGCAGTTTAGTTGCATGTAGAAGATTTTGAAATATTTAATACTAGTGTACTCTAAAGTACCGGGGTACTCTATCTTAATCTGTTTCGTACGACCACTTTTCAACTAGCCTATCTTTTTTTTTTTCGACCGACCGACCTTATTTTTTCAAAAAAAGTCTTGAAAAACAACTAATAAATAAAAATGGCCTAAGGATATGCAAAGACTTTGAGACCTGATTTTGCTCCGTACTCTCTTTCCCTTAGGTCTGGATAGACGCTGCAGTGCAGATTTTCTTCTCCATCGGCGCTGGATTTGGAACACACATTGCATACGCCAGCTATAACAAGTTTAATAACAATTGCTACAGGTATAAACAAAAGAACCATAAACTTCTGCTTTTTCCAAGTGATCTGGTGGAATTTCGTTTCCGGATACATAAATAAAATCCTTGTAGAAATGAGTTTTTTCATTATCTCTTAATCCAATCTCTTTTTTTATCATTAACAGTATATTAACTCCTCAGGAATGTTTGTCATAAAAATAGAATATTATAAACAAAAGCTTAAAGACTCGTAAATGTTCTTAGAGGGTATACCATAAACACAACACATACAAAATCTGTTTCTTCTCTCGAGTTTCAATGTCTGAGTTGATACATGTATTAACAACAGTAGTTTTTTGCGTCACATATACCGGGTAGATGAAGTGTCAGATTTAAAATTTATAATTCTAGTGTTTCTAAGTACATCATGTACACCTAATCAGTCCATATATTCAAATCTTGCCCAATTTCTTATTTGCAGGGATTGTCTCATAACAGCATCCGTAAACTGCATTACCAGTATCTTTTCTGGTTTTGTCGTGTTCACATACCTTGGGTACATGGCTCAAAAACAGCAAAAAGACATCAGGGATGTCGCACAAGATGGTAAAATTGTCTGTTATAGATGCTCTCTGTTTCCTTGTGACTTAATCTTTAAAAAAAAAATTAATTTAAAATTTTTCTTTTAAATAAAAGTTCTTTTAAATAAAATCTTAAAATCTTACAACTTTCATAATTGCAGGCCCGGGTCTCGTTTTCATCGTCTACCCAGAAGCCATTTCTACACTTCCGGGATCGTCAATATGGGGAATTCTGTTCTTTTTCATGTTAATTACGCTCGGTTTGGATAGCGCGGTGAGTAGCATTGCTTTATTGATTGTTTTCCCATTGTTTGCGTTCTCTTGACTAAATATTTTGCGAATTATACTGTCTTTAATTTTATTTTTTGTTTTTGTAGTTTGGCGGCTTAGAATCTCCGTTGACGGGTCTCCGGGATCAATTCTACAGGGTATTTAGACACCGGTGGGCACGGGAAGTTTTAACCTTCTTAATTGTCGTCAGTGCCTTCCTTTTCTCCATTCCATGTATGACTGTAGTAAGTACAGGCTCCAAAAATAGTTGTTACATAGACTTGATTCTTCTTCTGCGCGTTTTATAAAATTGCGCATGGATTTATGATTTACTAGAATGTACCGAGTATTATCAGCAAGTGTTAAAAAAAATAAATGAAACTCTCTTAAATATAAATAACACAAACATTTCTTTCTTTTTTTTCAAGAAATCGGCAAAAGGTCTAGTAGATTTATGTTCGTATAGATAATTAGAATGAGATTTGTCAGATCGAGTAAATGTAGAAATTGGTGATTTTTTGTAATAATGTCACAAAGTATGAGCAAATTATTGCATATTTTTGAACAATAAAGGAACACGGTCTAAAATTTGAACAACAAAGAATACTAGTACTTACGATTTCCTTACATGTTGTTTAGAGACTTTATATGATTTGTGTGATTTCTTTTCAAAATTTAAATTAGTCAAAAATACATACCAATTCATGCATTAGTTGCTTTTTTTATGTTCTGATATCTGTCTAATCTATTTAACCTTTTGAGAGAAAAAGCATATGTGTAATACAACAAATATGAAAGGTTGGTTGAACCAAGAGAGAGTCAAGGCTTTGCAATGCGGTGCAGGTGAAATGCCATGTGCACCAATTTCTTCTCATTCAGTGCAAACCCATTTATCTTTTGTACATTTATATTTTTGTGTGAAGTTCCCTACCAATTCGGATGATAATATGAAAGATAAAAAAGATGATTTCAACACAAACGTTTTATCTATGGGAGAAACTCTTAAGATTCTACACCCATTTTTTCATTAATATTCTTACACTTAGTAAGTATAAGTACAGACTTAATAATAAATAGGTAACAAATATTAGATATATTTTGTAATCTGTACTATAATATAATTTTTTCCGGCAATTTATTGAGTAAATTTAAAGAAAATACCCGGCCTTCTCTCGAAGCGCTAAAAAAACTGAGTGCTTCTTTTTCTTGATAAATATACTGTAACTTTTTTCTCTTCCTTTTAATTTTGTAGGGAGGTATGTATGTGTTTAAAATACTGGATACATTCGCTGCCGGCACTTCCATCGTTTTTGCCATTCTATTTCAAGTCATCGCCGTTTCCTGGTTTTATGGTAAGTCAAAAAAAATATATTTTTAAAATATTTTCACTCAAATTAGAAAAATAGACTTAATGAAAAGTATTTGTTATGTGGTATATTAAAGGAGGCTAACCGAATTTTAAAACAATGATTCAACTTTTTCAGGGGTGGATCAGTTTTGCTCGGACATTTATCAGATGACAGGCCATAGACCAGGGCTGTATTGGCGAGTGTGTTGGAAAATCCTCAGTCCTACATTCCTATTGGTAACTAACCCCCCCTTTCTTTCCACCTCCGTCCCTTTCCTTTTCAACGACCACATACAAGTGCTGAAACAATCCTGTTAAACTTAAAATACCCTTCTGATAATACCCTTCTCATTTTCTTAGAAATTTGATTGGTATATTATTTGGTTCATTATTCAAGTTTAAATTCTAAATATACATTCTTTTATAAAATCAACAAAGTAAATGTAAGCCTGTACTTAAATATTAAATGACATCTAAATTGAACTCAAGATATTTTTGGACGATTTTACTAGAAATGCATTGCACACATTTGATTCAATTTAATTTTTTTTTATATTTATTATAGATAATTGTGATATCAAGCTTTTCTCATTATCGACCACTGACTTATAAGGGCAGTATGGGCGTGTACACCTATCCTTCGTACGCTAACGTCATAGGATGGGGCGTGGCTCTTTCCTCAATGCTCCTGATACCAGGTTATGCAGTGTATCTCTTGCTGTCCACTAAAGGAACTTTTAAACAGGTACAAACACTGACGTATTTCTCCGAGGCCAGAATTAAAAATATCTTTGTTTCCCCTAACCCGACCCTAAATTCTCAAGTTGGGTCGGTAGGTAGGTAAACAATTTTAATTTCTGAAAGCAACTTTGAAAATACATTCTAAAATGTAATTGAAAATTACCTTTATAAATAAGAAAAGTACAAAAGAAAGCGATTTGTGATCTAAATGCTAAGTATCATACATATGCGGTTTAAAAGCAAAATTCATGATTAATTAATTCACAACTGTTATTTAGTTGAACTTTTGGAATATCTTACGCCATTACCTTTATATAAATTGAATAAAATAGACAAGATTCTCAAATACGCAAAGACCAGACATACGAGTATATTTTTCAAACCTTCAATCAGCCTTCAGAGCTTATAGACGACCAATGTACTTTTTTGAGGGCAATGAGATTTGTAGTGGTTCTGGAGCATTTTGCTTTGGAGTTAAGAAGTAAGTGGCTAATTTTAAATCGCAGGTTCAAATCCCAATGAGTAACGTTGAAAACGGTCCTTCAAAGGGGACCATAAAAACTTATGTCCAGTGTCGCAGAAGATGCTGGCTCAAAAAAGACCCCCACTTCTTAATGGCAAAAAAATAGTGCTGAGTACGTCTAAATTTGGGGCAATGGGGAAATGTTTAAATGTCGTCCTAACAAATCTCGAAGGGATTAAAAGCAAAGAAACAGCCAATCTTCAAGGGCCTAATTAAAGAAAAATACACTGGACGTCTCAGGAAGCTGAATCCTAATTTCAAAACTATTTGGAAAGAGTATGTTAACAATCTTTAATCGAACGAAACCGAATCTACAAATGATAAAAATACCATTCTCACGAAGTTTAACCACTTTATAAAGGCAGGAAGAAAGGACATCTGAATTATATTTATCAGGATTAATATGCAGGCATATTTACAACAACTCCTATAGTTCCATAATAGCATATAGTAAACATAGGAACATAGATGAACTAGTTATTAGATCAAAACTCAAATTAAGAAAATAAAATGCAGTGAAATTGAATGATGTGTTCACTAGGTGGGCCCCTCATCTGCTCATAAGGCGGGCCTTACCATGTATTATGTACCTTAAATTCAAAGACAGATTTGTTTGTTTGTTGCTTAACGTCCCTTTCAAAAATTTATTCACTCACATGGAGACGGTAAGACACTTCCGAAACACTCTTAATTAGTCATGATAAATTTTAGTATCGAATTGTTTCAAGAGTGAAGAATTCCAATTAACTGAAAGCATAAGATTGAGACGTCGCCATCGTTCTATGAAGAGTTACTGCCCTGTAATCACATCTGGAGGTCATTTTGTTTCCAACAAATGATTGAAAATCACAGTAGAACAATGTCGGCCGTTCTGATAAAAACTGATTTGGATGAAGTTGTATTTTATAAAACTTGGTTAACAATAAAAAAAATATTTGAATCATCTTATTCAAAAAATCTTTTCAGTCGGTGCGATTTAATTGGGTCGGTCGCGTTAGGGGAAACGAAGGTATTTTTTTATTTTGGCCTGATCTCAAGAACTTCTCATGCAAAAGGTGATTAATTGATTGGTTGTATGTTGTTAAATGTCCCTCTAGAGAATTTTTCACTCATATGAATACGCCACTAATTGCCGGTGTTTCGATTGGAATTTGAATTAAATGTAGATAACGAACAGTATTCAAGCTCAAAAGTCCATTAAATATATCATAACTAAATTATATTTTAATTACGTATAAATTGATTACTCTCAGTACTTTGATGAGTTCCTTTAATCAAACATGTTCTAATGTATTACACAGAGATTGGCAAAGTGCATAACCCCAAAAAGAGATCACGAGGAAATCACAAGAACCAATGACGTCAAACGTTTCAGGGTGAGTCCTTCGAGCGTCCTTGGCAACAGATAAAATTGTCCAATTTTCTGCGCCGGTATCGTAAGAACAAAGTCATGTTCTGATAAGTACCCAGTTCTTTGTGTTTGCGAGCACGCACTTTCCTTGTTCTTTCAGATTTTGATATAAAACAGAAATAAGAATTTTCATTCACAGTTGAAAACTATGCATACCTTAATGATTTTTATTCTTCGTTTCAGCTGAAACATTGGATAACCGTGTGATGTGTGTTTGGACAAAGTTTTTACCAGGATTATATGGGCTGTAGAACTTGTATCGTGATATTGTTAAATGTGACTTCGATGCAATACCTTTCGATATGTCATATTTTTATTCTAGCGGGTATTCTAATTCAGGTTTATGTTATATGTGTTAAAAAAAATTATGCCAGTGAAATGTGTGTAAACCAAACTTTTTATCATTGAAAAAACAATAAAGTATAAATATAGTGTTATTGTATATGATTATTCTTAAAACGATGTCGAATTAAAACGAACCCTATTGAAATATCTGAAATGAATGGAGTTAAGTCTCAAACCCCTCCCATTTGCAATTTAAAGAGACTTACATAAAGAAAAAACAATGACATCAAATTTTAGAAAGCCTTGCAGCAAGCTTAACAATGGAGACTTAATTGTGATGTTTCACTGTTATGGATACCTCTAAAATTTCCTTTAAGAACTCTCAAAAATACATAAAGATTCGGGGGCATATATTTTTGTTATGTCTGTCTGTCAGTAAATTTTTCTGTTTGTCCATAATTATTGAATGGTTAGTGCTATGGCTTTCATATTTCACATGTGTATCCCGTATGTGACATAAATCTCTGGAGATACCAACAAATCTGATTTTGTGCTTGGGCTTTTATATTTTATGTGTATATATATCATATGACGAGCCTTTTCTATGAGCACCAACATTTTTTTAAAATTAACCTCGATCTTTGAGGTTGAACTACTTTTGAACCTTGGCGGTAACTTGTCAATTGGTGATGTTAGGGTTTTTATATCACCTGTATATTCCTTGAGACAAGATCTTCCTCTGAGTACCAATATTTTGACCTCCTAACATTGACTTTTAAGTTTTACTCACATATAAGTAATGAAAACAAGAGGCTCATGGGCCCCATCGCTCACCTGCTACCGTTCTTTACCAGATCCCGCCCCCTTGTAATACCTATTTTGCCCCCCCCCATCCCCCCACCCCGGGTCATGATTTTAACAATTTAGATATTACATTATCCAAGGATGCTTCCTCATAAGTTTCAGCTTTTCTGGCCCATTGGTTCTTGAGAAGATTTCTAAAGATTTATCCTATATGTTTCTATGTAAAACTTGAATTCCCTGTTGTTGCCCGTCATACCCCCGGGGTCATGATTTTAACAATTTAGAATCTACACTTCCCTAGAATGCTTCCAGATAAGTTTAGGCTTATCTGGCCCAATGGTTCTTGAGGAGAACATATTTCAGAATTTTCCAAAATATTTCAATGTAAAACTTGGATTCCCGGAGGTCATGATTTTTTAAACAATTTAAAATCTACACTACCACAGGATGCTTCAGGATAAGTTTCAGCTTTTCTGACCCAGTGGTTCTTGAGAAGAAGATTTTTTAATGACCCCATCCAATTTTTGTCTTTTCTTGATTATCTCCCTTTGTAAGGGGACGTGACCTGGCCTTCATTTTAACAATTAACCCCCCTCCCCCTCGCTTTACCCAAGGCAATCTCTACCCAGAGTTATCGTTCCACTTATTGCGAAGCGAAATATAACTCTGGGTAGAGATTGTACCCAAGGATGCCTTGTAATAAGTTTGGTCAAAATTGGCCCAGTGGTTCTTGAGAAGAAGTTGAAAATGTGAAAAGTTTACAGGCAGACGGACGGAAGAACGATGGACATTTGGTGATCAGAAAAGCTAATATGAGCTCATCTGAGCTAAAAAAAAAATGTTATTATGTTCCCCAAACGAAGTTGGGGAACATATTGTTTTTACTCTGTTTCTTATTATTATTATTAAGGTCTTCCGTCTTCAGCGGAAGACCTTCTTGTTATTCGTTTGTTTCTTTTCCACTGTTTTTCTTATTATTTTTTTTCTCCCAGATTTTGTGCACGCGATTTCTCGAAAACGGCTCGTTAGATTTTTATGAAACTTTCAGGTCTGATAGAACATATTAAAACTTGATGCATTTTTTTTCATTTTGATGACGTCACTTCCGGTTCGAAGATTTTCGCAATTTTGTGATTTTTAAGGGTCATTTTGTCCGTCGCTCTTCTTAAAAATCGCTCATCACAGGAAGATGAAACCTTGTCTGGAAGATAGAGCAACAAATGTAGATTTGCATTGTGTTGTTAACTTTTACCGGAAGTACTGCACGTTAACGCTCGGTATGGTCTGAAAAAAGCAATATTGAGCGTTTCAAAGTTTCTTACACTTTTTCTGTTATATCGTTTTACTTGTAAATATTTTGTAAAAACATATAGAACAAAAATTGTTAAGAATTCTAAGATCTTTCAAATGATATCTCGAAAAAAGGGCTGATCCCTAAAATTAGGGATCTAGAGGGGCCAAAAGTTTTTACTTGATATCTCGAAAAGTATTGAAAATTTGTAATACTTCAAAGAAGCAAAGTTGTTCAAAATGACAAGCTTAATCTATCTGAGTCGTCAAAATACGTCCGGCGTCGTCACTTCCGGCCAAACCAGAAGTAGTCAAAAACGGGTATTTTTGCCGTTGTTGTCAAGTTTTTTGGGGTAACATATGTCTCTGGGTGCATAAAAATTAATTTTCCGTCCGTCGTCGTCACTTCCGGTTAAACCGGAAGTAGCAAAAATTGCTTATTTTTGCATTAATTAATATAGCTTTAGAGGATTCAAACCATTTCAAGTCGTTATTTCTCATTTTTGTTGAAAATGAAAGTTACTTCCGGTCAAACAGGACGGAAGACCTACTCGTTGCTTTGCAACGAGCTTTGCTCTAGTTAAGGTCTTCCGTCTTCACGGAAGACCTTATAGTGATTCTATTGTTTCTTATTATTATTATTCTTTTTTTGACAAAATTTTGTGGACGGGATTTCTCGAAATCTATTCAGCAGTTTTCAATGAAACTTTCACAAAAAATGCGTCATTATATGAAGTTGTGCAGTCTATAATTTGTTTTGGAAATTTCGCTTCTGGTGCCAAGTTATGGACAATTTTCTGATTTTAAAATGCGATTTTGTCGCGCAGTTTTATCGAAAATAGCTAAAGATATGAACTGGAGACTTATTGGAGACGATAGCTCACGACTTTCTGGTTTGCAGAATCACCTTTTTGTGTGTCGTCAATACTTCCGGTCGTTACGAGATGCAAATTTAAAAACTCGTATTTTTCTAACTTTTTTGTTTTTCAATATTTTTCATTTATATTTGGTATGTTAATAGAAATCTTTCTTATAATGTTCACTATATAATTTGTTTGAATATTGATAAATCTAAACTCTAGATATTAGCATTTAAAAAACTGAAGCGGGTCCAAGATGGCGGCTGTCCCTGTCAACTCCGACATTTCGCAATAGGGGTTTTCGGAGTCAGCTGAGCGTTTGCTTGAACGAAAGTAACACAAGCAAAAATGAAATGTAAAGGAATACTTGGATTGTCACGTCTTAGTTACGTTGCAATTCTGCGTCAAACTATGTTCTTCTTAAACGTCATCTATAATTAGATTTGGCTGGTTCTCAAAGTAGAAAAAGAAAGACTAAATGTGCAAATGAAATTAGATACCTAATACCTTCTGATTTGCAACACGTGAAAACAGATCTTAAATCATAGTTATAAGTAATAGTTTTTCTAGAAACAATGTCAATGAATATAGTAAGTATAGAAATTTTTCCAATGCACACTTGTGTCATATTAAAATAATAGAAAAGACAAAATAAGATAATTTTTTAAAAGATCGCTAAATGGAGTTTATATTAACATTCTTGTCTCAAAGGTTTTCGGAGTCAGCTGAGCGTTTGCTTGAACGAAAGTAACACAAGCAAAAATGAAATGTAAAGGAATACTTGGATTGTCACGTCGTAGTTACGTTGCAATTCTGCGTCAAACTATGTTCTTCTTAAACGTCATCTATAATTAGATTTGGCTGGTTCTCAAAGTAGAAAAAGAAAGACTAAATGTGCAAATGAAATTAGATACCTAATACCTTCTGATTTGCAACACGTGAAAACAGATCTTAAATCATAGTTATAAGTAATAGTTTTTCTAGAAACAATGTCAATGAATATAGTAAGTATAGAAATTTTTCCAATGCACACTTGTGTCATATTAAAATAATAGAAAAGACAAAATAAGATAATTTTTTAAAAGATCGCTAAATGGAGTTTATATTAACATTCTTGTCTCAAAGATCTGATTCAAGTTATTGAGTATAAATGGTATCCGATTCCTTGATTGTCTTCGGGCAACACATGTTTTTCGGCAAAATATTTCAACCTTTTCATAAAAGCTTAACTAATCTGGATAGTTCATTTTGGGTATGAACAGGAAATTTTAAAAGAGTTAAATTCAATAACTGTTTCATTGCTTTAGTGTTACTTGCTTATATACAATATGAAATTTGTAAAATGTGTTAAATATACTTTCTTCACCTTGATATTTTAGCTATAAGAACGTTCTTTTTTCTTTCCATTAAAGCGATCACACCTATTTAATGGAACATTCTCAACAAAAGGCGCGAAGATTTACTCGAGGCGTTTGACGCAAAATTATGATTCGCCTTTTATAATTCTAATGTACTGTTGCAGAAATATATACAAATACATTTAGAGCTGTGGTCCGAATAGCGTAATAGTAAGCGCATTGGATTTTCACGCTGGCGATTCGGGTTACATCCCCTTTGTTTCCATAAAAAGTTTGATTACTTTTTTCAGCTCGAGTTTGTGGGGGTTTTTTTCAGAATCAGACGGAAGACCTCTCGTTGCTCGCTACGAGTTTCTTTTCTAGTTAGG